GCACTCCATTCTCAGCACCCACAGGGTTCACGGCACCTCCGCTGCATGGTGTTCAATTGGCATTATCGTCCAATGGTACACCGGATCAGGGGTCCCCCTTTCTTTTCCACGCCCACTACAATTACTCTGTTGTCGTTATTTGAACGTTCGCCGTGTTACGTTTTTGACCGCGACTTGTTATTGGTGTGAGATGTTACAAGATTTGGGATACCCATCACGCTCTTAAAAAACACTTTTTTTGTTTTTTTAGATTCTCATTTCGTAGTACGAGCGATTTATCTCCCTTCCCTTTTTCAGCCACTACCCAGGTGATTGAAAACAATGTGTTCACGAGAAGAAACCTCACAGGCCAATTATACTTAGTCTGCACAAATTGTTGGATCCATGTGCGTCATGTGTCGACCCTCTGTGAACCCTGTAGGGGATGTGAATTTTTTGAAAGTATAGGTTGGGAATTATGAACACCCAGCAGGGGGAGGTCTGCATGGTGGCGCCACCCCTGCTGGATGATCATCTTTTTTTACATCTTTTCGAACCAATACGTTAATTTTTTTCCTAGCCACTCATTGGGCCGTCTATCAATTCAACTTTTGCCAAGAATGGTCTTTATTAGAACTTTTTTGTATCCATTGATTCAAGGGCGTGACGCCACTAGGACGTCACACACGTCCCGCTTGTAATTAAGTCGATTTTCATTTTTGTTTCTCCTAGTGACTCACTGGATAATAAACCGCCGCCTTATTCGCAGCCACGGTCGACTTTATGTCATTCAGTTTGCTTCTTGGATATAAAACCCCCCATTCCAATTCTTATTTCTTTCAGACACTTTAAACGATATCCATTATAAAATAATCAAACCGTGGTCATTCACAGGATTCAACCACTACATTCCATGGCCTCATCCCTGGCTCATGACTCCTTCAGCCAAGAAGCAAACACCGTTTCTTTTGTTCACCCATTAATTTCCAGGGCTTGAAGTCACTCGGACCTCACACATGTCCCGCTTGTAACCTAGGTTCGAGATTTGTTTTTCATTAAATAAAAAAAAATCATTTTTTTTCCACGTTCAAACCTGTGTGCGTGTGTTCTTTTTCCCTGCTGGCCGAGCCCCTTTCCCGAACCTGGGACCCAGGGTCACGTGATGTAAATCCCGCCCTCTGATTGGTAATAATATTAATAATTTAATTCTTATATTGCGCGCTTTCCATGAAATGATCAAGCGCGCATTACATGATTTCTATCTATAAAAACTTAATAAAGGGTATGTAACTACTAATTATTTAAAACATACGATGATAAAATTAAAATATACAACATATGTTAAAATACTAGTAATTGTCGTGATAAAAATTCAAAATTAATAAATTAATAAAAAGCTTCCCTAAAGAGGTACGTTTTCAGA